TACTACATCAAAAAACACCTGTGACCTATTTCTTGGCACTGTCATAATGTGAAAACTTTATATTTGCAAAAAAAAAGTGCCGCAATACCCGAGCGTTGCCCCATATGCAGATGTACTTCGACAGTACCGAGTCTGTGAAACGACACATTTAGGGCAGCTAAAAACAAGTTTTGTACACAAACAGAAGTGGGCATGGGAGCTTCATATTCAAAGTTGCTTGCATTTACAATGCAGAAGAGTCATAAAGAAGAAATTGGTCACCTTTGAACACTGCGAAACGAGCCTCCTGGTATCCATAAGTTCTGAAAATATCCGTCTTCAAAAACATTTATACACATGCATCTTAGATGCTGTAGATTATGTGACACCGAGACACACAATATCTGTGCAGCATGTTGGCATTGACGTTGTAGCACCACAAGATACCCAACAGACTGCTACAAGGACACCGATTATCTGCACACACACACACACACAGATCGACCGACTTCAGAAAGCAGTTGCCTTTGCATGAGGATGAAGCGCAAGCATGTTGCTGGCCGGACACGAACTAATTTGTTTAGCCTTGACCTCTGTGTATCCTGCAACAAAGGTTTCTCAGTTAAAAGTTTTCACTGCAGTCCAACACATGCTTCAGCTCGAACTCACGATGGGTTCATCATCACAGGCGTCAGACATACTCTTCCTTGGTCCGAGTTCGCTTCTTGACATCCGTGACGGTTGACAGCGAGTGTCTTTGATCGAGTTTCAGCTTTTCATTTCTTCTGTTTGGCATTCTTGGCGTTAATGCAAACATTCATTTCGCTACAGCATTTACACCAGCTCTGTCTTCCTGTGCAAGCAAACTGTAGCCAACTTGTTTCGTGCTGTCGATGCGGCCTTGCATTTTTCACCCCTTAGGTTTTTCAAGGTGGTGTAGACTGCACAGCTGGCCACATAGCCCAAGGCCGGGAGGCTGTGCCTTATTTTTTTTACAGCCCAGGGCCACATTGCAGGTATACCACGTTGTAGGTAGGGCGTCAAGTATCGGCTGGCTTGGGAAGATCTTTCTAGTTTCCATTGCTAGCTGTAGTGACTGTTGACATTGTGCTCCACAGCAGTATTCTGTTTTCATCTTCGCAAATGTGCCTTGTAGACACGTGATATTAGAAGCAAGCCAGTCGCCTATACATTCCGAAGTACTCTTCTAAGGTGTCAGTTTTCAGCTTGTCCCATGGAGGCCGTACAGTAGCCAGAGTTCGTCAAAGCAGTATCCGGGATGTGTGACCGCTTCTGCAGGAAATAGAACGAAAAAGGAGGAAATCATATTAACCTAAAGAAAGGTAATGGAATCAAAAATGGTTATAAAAAGAAAAAAACAAGAAGAAAGAATGCTCTTCTTTAAGCTGAAGTGGTTCCGTATTTGACAGAAAACACTGGTAGTGTTTCGATCTGGTATTTTGGATCACAAACATCAAAATTATTCTTGAATTTGATGTGCCGAATGCGCTATAATAGTAATAATAATAATAACAATGCTTATTGCACGAGCACATAGAACCAGGTAGAGAAAATAATAATATTTAATAGAGCTTCCTGGTGTGTGGTGGGATTCTTTGGGGAGCCTGAAGCGGCTCCAGCTAAATCGTTAATATATGGCTCTGGCGTATGGATAAGTAAACTGATCAATGAACCATATTCCGGCTTGCGTGCACTCCAAACTACAGCTCAGAGACCCGCTGAAATATAGGTCTTACTAGTTAGCTGTAGCGGATCATTTCTGCGCTCCGATGAGGATACGCAGAAACGACACAATGTACTTCTGTTGTTGTTGCTGTTTTTTAATTGATGTGCTGGTTGCAACAGCGATAACCTATCACTTGCGTAGCTTGCGAAAACATTCCAACCTGAACTCATAAATCAAGTCATTTTTATTTAATTCTGCACCTGCAAGTAGCGCCAGCATTTGAATATGTTGCTTCCAGGCCACAACCAAATCACTCCCAAGAATGCATTCAGCGAAAAGTAAAAACAAAAAAACGAAACCACGATGATAAAAACTAAAAAGTTCTCACCCTGCCATGCCGTCAAGGAGCGAGATCTTCCCATTTTCCGATTCGCTGTATAGTCCACGCTTTCGTAGTCATCCTTGCAGAAACTCAAATATGGACACTTTCACATCCAGTTTTGCGTCAAAGCGCGGATAAACAACATCTGTACCGAATGACAGCACCGACCAGGCACCGACAGAGAACCGAAAGGCAGCTTTCACGTCCACACACGAGGCCGCGAGAGCATATTCCAAAATCTGCTCGATCTCACTCGAGCGTTGAACCTCTGACCCTCGGCGTCCAAAAACCTACTCGCGTCCAGAGTTGTTCTAGTTGATTCCTCCAGCCTTATTGTCACGTTACCCAACCCGCAGGAGTAAGTAAAAAAAGCCGTCGAAGAAAGGAACGCGACAAACGACCGTTGGGGAAGAAAAAAGAAAAAAAAGAAAAAAACGCGACGCCGTGGCGTTTATTTTTTTTTTCTTTCCCTCTAAGCTTGACGGGGCGGCGTCGAGCGTAGAGGGAAAGGAAAAGTAAAAGAGAACGTGCATTGCAAAGAAGCCAACTGTCAAGGGGAGCCTTGCGGAGAAGCGCACTACCAGTTCAGCCTACTCATGCCGACGCTCCTTGAAGGGAGAGAGGGAAGCGCTCCGGCTTTCCATCTAGGTGGTGTTGCGTCAACACGCCGCCGCCGGAGGTATGTACAAACACCGGCGCGCCGCCGCCGGCGATTTCTGACCGGCGCACAGGTCGGAGGCGGTGTTCAAGCAAGTTGCGCGGCGCGAGCACGGATGACGCCACCATCACGTACAGCAGCGCTCGTGTGGTGGGAGACGCTCATTACTAAAAACTACAAACTTCATTTAGCTCTAGTTATAACTGCATATTATTTCACTAAATACAAATTGCATATTTCTAAAAATATAACGTTTTTGTTTGTTTTTTAAAGTTCGTGTCAACATCGCACGATCGCACTCCCTGAACGTTTCTGCTTTCTGCGCTAATCGAAACCGCTCGGTCAGGCTCGGTGCTTTCGCTCGCCTTCGGTGCGTCGAGTATCGACGCGTCGATCATCGCTTCACGCGAGCCTCGCCCTTTCGGGCGAGTGTAAAGTTTTCGTGTCTTAGAACTACCAAGGTATACCTTGGAACTACCGCATTCGTGCGGTTAGGCAAAGTGGTGCGCAAGCAGCGTCGGGGACAGTAAGCACCCGTTCGTTCACAGGTTCAGATCACAACTGACGACGGTGAGTTTGAAAGTTTTCACCCCAATTTAAACTTTTCCTAAGCTGATCTTCCGGCCACAAATTGCACGATTTGAGGGTTATGTACTTGTTTAGGTAATTAAATATATCGTTTCATTTTTTTTTTTTTTTTAAAGTTCACAAAGTGCCACCGTGATTTCGTTGCGCTGCAGACATTTCGGCGAGTGTTTTAGCACGAGGGTGGAAAGTTGGGCGAGTTGGTGATTCATAATGATTAAAAAAGCGCGACAGGACAACGGACACAGAAGGAGACACAGCCACAGCGCTGTGTCTGTGCTCCTTCTGTGTCCGTTGTCCTATCGCGCTTTTTAATCATTATCGTTTTTAGCACGTAGTTTAGTGGATGAAGGCCGTCCTGCAAATATTTTATCATCTCCCAGTGGAATCTCACCTCCTCTACCTCCCGTCGATTTCGTGCATAACAGTGTAAATCCCCGTCGAGTAAATTGTAGTTTATATACAAGTATTGTTCAGCCAGTTTTATAATATTTCACAGAGCTCATATCTTATAATATCTGCCTGCTTTTATCAATTTATCTCGTGTAGATGCTTTGTCAGTTTGTTTACC